TTCAGGAAGCATATACCTAATGTTTCCAAGAGCCATGAGACCACCTACGATACTTCAGATGAAATATAACCTGCCCCAGTCCTGAATGTCCCCCAAGGTTGTGGGGTCTGGGGTAGTTGGTGAAGGCATATTTAATTCCAGCCTGGGGTCCAGGCTCTCCCTGTGGGAGGCTGGTATTTGTGATTCATCTGGGTCTGAAATTTTCCCCTTTAAGCAGTGTGATCTTGTGAGCCTCATTGCCAAGATGGCGGGGCTTTAGGGTGCTAATTTCAGAGGGGAATTTTGAGTGTGGAATTAAAGATCTGCTTCAATTTGGGTCAGGAAGCATTTGTGTGCTGGAGGCTTTCCACCCTGCTGTGGTAACAGCATCCATCTTGCGCATCACGAAAGGGATCTGCTATAGACACCTCCCCTTGGATCTATGCTTTGTGGAGTCAGTGGGATTTACCCGTCCACCTCCCTCGGGGAGTGATAGACAACTCCCATTATCTCTGGATACCAGTCAGGCTTCTGGGGGTGTCAGAGAGAGGATGGAAAATGAGCTGTGCATCTCAAAGAAGTAACGTCCCTGGGGGTGGTGGAGCTGGTGGGTGGGTGCTGGGGGACAGCTCTCTCCCTTGATGCTGGGGCCTGTGGACTGCTCTCTGTCCCTCAGTGCTGGGGAAGAGTGGGCAGGTGGGCACCTGTGCACTGGTCCCCAGCTGCATCCTCATGGCATTGCTGACTGCCTGTTTCAGAGGAGCTCTTCTTTTCTTTGCTCTGGGGGCAGAGGGTGGGGACTTTGCTGAGTCCCCGCTGCTGCAGAATCTGCTGGGTCTGCACCTGGGTTCCAGGCAGCCGCCTGTGAGAGATGTTCCCTGCCGGGCTGGCCGGAAACCAGAGGAGTGTGCAGACTGGCTCAGCAGCAGCCAGGACTCGCTCAACAGGCTGCCTCCCTTGGGCTTCCTTTGTGAGGTCTTCAAGGGTGTCAGTTATGGTAAGAGGCAGCTCATGTCAGAAGGTGTTTCACGTAACCAAAATTACCACCCCACTCACATTTGAAGCATGGGTTGTGCCCTGGCCCTGCAGCGCCTGGGGTTACAGGTCTCCTTCTTCCCCTTCACTGTGTGACTATCCAGCTAGCTCCTGGAGAGCTGCATGGGCTCTCTCCTGAGCAGAATCCCCTCTGGCCTGCAGATCACCTCTGTGCCTCCGTGCTCCTCCCTGGATCCAGCCTACGGCAGAGAGCTCTGTGCGGCTTTGTGCTTTGTCACGCAGGGTTTTGGGGCTGCTGGGACAGTCTAGGTGGGGCAGCTGGAGGTGCCTGGGGTATTGGATGGAAGGGCCAGCCCTGTTCTGGAGGGCAATAATACTTTTCACCCAGAGCTACTCTTCCAAAGTCCTTTGAGATGTAAAGGAATGTTAACCTCTCCTGGGCAGTGGGTTCACATTTTTCTCCCCAGCCTGCTGATGGGTAAACAGAGGTATGGAGATGGGGATGGGACTCTCCTAAAGCCACGTACCAGGTCAGTGGCAGAGACTGGAACAGACTCCTGGAGCACTGACTCCTGGTTCTCCGCCCCAGACCCCAGCTACACTGTTCCCTTTCTAGCTCATTGGCAGCCTTTATTTCTCCCTTCATTCATGAACTTTTCTCTCCCTCTCTTTGTAAAAGGAAAATCCCCTTAATGACCGACCATTCTGCACATTGAGATCCAATTAGGGAAACAGTGAAAAGCTGGCAAGGCTTTGAAAGCTCCCTCCTGCAGCAAGAGGAAGAAGAGCCCCCTGGGGAGCTCTGCTTGTGACCTTTCCCAACCTCTCCTCTCTGCTGTTGGGTGTCAGGGTGGTGGGTGTGAAGTGCTCAGCCTCTGGAGAGGGGCTGGTAGCCTGTGTCCTGGCAAAGAAGGGATGGATTGCTATCACAGGATGTATCCCTGCAGCAAGGACAGAGGTGGGTAGGCTGACCCCAGGTTTCCTGGTGGTGTGGTTGACCTAGCCTGAAGAGCATGGGCCGTATATGCCCCATGGAGACTCTCAGGTTTGAGCTATGCTAGTGAGTTATGAGCCTACTGCCTTTCATGTGCATGACACAGCTTTGCATACTAGGGGCTCAAGCCAAGCAGCTGAAGCAATACCGGTATTGGGTGATGCTTTCGTCTGTCTGCCTGTGGGTTGGCTCCATGGTTTCGCGCCTTCTTGGAGGCTCAGGAGGCTTCTCTATGCCAGCAAGAGCTGAACGTTACTAAGGTTAAGTCCTGTCTCAGCATGGTTGGAGAGATGATGGTTGTGACATGGGACTACAGGAGTCAGGAGGGTGAAGCCAAGCAGATGGAAATCCTTTGGTGTGTGGGGTCAAGGATGGGGGCAGATCCTAACAGCCCGAGCGGGGCGGGGGAGTGATATAGCTGCTGAGTTCAATGCTGCCAGTCAGCCCACACCAGAACAACGTGTGTTCCTTCTGCTTCTGGTACGAGGGCTTGGAGGAAGGTGGCTGGGCACGAAACTCTATTCCATTGCCTGGCAGCTGTTTCCCTAGGATGGTGTGAGAAAGCAAGGGAGAGAGGGGTGGTGTGGGGTAGGGTGAGCCATGAAGGGGAGGAGTTTCTCATTATGGCTTGAGTTGCAGGAAGGCTTGTCTAACCGTCTTGCCCTTGTCTTTCCTTCCAGGGTTGACCAGGCTGCCAGCGTCCACGATGCCCTGAATACAGAGCCTGGTGGAAGCCAAGGAGACTGGCCTGCTAGCCCTCCTGTCCCTTTCCCTCTGCCCTCCTATTTTAGTTGGCTTATATTTATTTTGTGGCTGGGGCGTGTGCACGGCCTTGGCCGGATGTGACACTGCTGTGATGTGGCTCCTTCGCCTCAAGCACCACCTGTCCGTTAACATCTGGACCCTGCTGCTCTTGGGGAGCGCCTGGCTACCGCTGGCGGAAGGTGCCCCCAAGTCCCCCTTTAGGACTTTTTCCGTCACAGACTGGAGCTTGACGCACTTGGTGGTTCACAACAAAACTGGGGAGGTCTATGTGGGTGCTGTCAACCGGATTTACAAGCTCTCCAACAACTTGACACAGCTGCGTATCCACGTGACGGGGCCAGTGGATGACAACGAGAAGTGCTACCCCCCACCCAGCGTCCAGTCCTGCCCTCATGGGCTGGTCACCACTAACAACGTCAACAAGCTGCTACTGGTGGACTACTCAGAGAATCGTCTGATCGCCTGTGGCAGCGCCTCCCAGGGCATCTGCCAGTTCCTGCGCCTGGACGACCTCTTTAAGCTGGGCGAGCCCCATCACCGGAAGGAGCACTACCTCTCCAGCGTCAATGAGTCGGGCACCATGTCTGGTGTCATCATCGAGGTGTCCAACGGGCAGAACAAGCTCTTCATTGGGACGCCCATTGATGGAAAGTCAGAGTACTTCCCCACGCTCTCCAGCCGCAAGCTGATGGCCAACGAGGAGAATGCGGAGATGTTTGGCTTTGTCTACCAGGACGAGTTTGTCTCCTCCCAGCTGAAGATCCCCTCGGACACCCTCTCCAAGTTCCCCACCTTTGACATCTACTACATCTACAGCTTCAGCAGCGAGCAGTTCGTCTACTACCTGACCTTGCAGCTGGACACCCAGCTCACTTCGCCTGACTCCACGGGGGAGCAGTTCTTCACCTCCAAAATTGTCCGTCTCTGTGTGGATGACCCCAAGTTCTACTCGTACGTGGAATTCCCCATTGGCTGCGTGCGGGACGGCATTGAGTACCGCCTGATTCAGGACGCTTACTTGACCAAGCCCGGCAAGGCTCTTGCCAAGCAGCTGGGGATCTCGGAGCGAGAGGATATTCTTTTCACCATCTTCTCCCAGGGCCAGAAAAACAGGGTCAAGCCCCCCAAGGAGTCGGTCCTCTGCCTTTTTACCCTGAAGAAGATCAAGGACAAGATCAAGGAGCGCATCCAGTCTTGCTACCGAGGGGAGGGAAAGCTCTCGTTGCCTTGGCTCTTGAACAAGGAATTGGGCTGCATTAACTCGGTAAGTGCCTGCGGAGGCAGGTTGCCCTTGTATCCAAAGCCCTTTCAGTCTCCTGGCCTGGCTCCTATTTTTTTACATTAGGCTGCTTTCCTGCTGGGGGGGTGAGGACTGAAGGTGGGAGTGAAGAATGGGGCAGGTCTTGAGCTGGCCTGCTGACAAGTGCTGGGGAGTTGCCTGGAGTCTGGTTTCAATGGAGATGTACACTGACCTAAACCAGATGTCAATGGAATGACTGAAATCCGACACATATCTTGTCCCTGCTCCCTACCCCTGCCTGGTACAGTGCAGCAAATGCTGTTCCTAGCCTTAGCTCAGTGGGTGCCGTCTTGCTCCAGTTCTGTCTAGTTGAATGCTGGGAGGAGTTGTTGGCTGTAAAAGGACTGGGAGTGCACGCATACAGGGCAGGAATAGTGTGTGAGCTCGCTGAAAGCATCGTTGAAGCACTCTGTCCCTTCCTGGTGTAGTACCAAGGGGAGGGGAGTTGCAAAGGGACCTCTTTCTCCATTTGGTCTCCATTGTTTCCCAGTGTCATCTGCTTGGATGTCTGTACTGGCATTCGTAGTGACAGAGCATCCTGGCTCTGGTCCTGCTGGTTTGCTCCTTGTCTCCAAGCTTGTGGAGAAGCTGAACCCAAGGTGGAGGAGCAGGACAGTGGGAGGGGATGACCTGTGTTGGGGTCCCTAGCTGCATGGATGGGCATTCTCCACAACAGGGAGGCAGGGGGAGGGAATGTATCCCTGCAACGCTTCCTTTCTTTGCCTTGCCAGAGTTGGTTCCCTCCTGGGGGGCGGGATGTGGAGGGAACAGCTAATCCTTTTGCGGATCAGGGTAATAACATGCTTCAGAGAACGAGCCCTGATAAGTGTGGATTAAAGAGCACAGATTACCCTCCTGTGGAGCAGGCAGCTCCTCTCCTGCTGGTTGATGCCATGCTCAGATTGGAGGTGCTGTGGCTCAGCATGGAGAGCTCCCCATGGGTGGCAGCTATGCATCTTGGGAAGTTGCCTTGGCTTGCAGAGGTCAGTGAGACACCCCCCCCCCACTCCAAATTGCCATGTACAGCTGAGAATGCAAGGCTGGGGAAGCATGTAGCAGTGAGGGATGGAAGGAGAGGGCACAGCCCAGGGGTTGTGCCTGGGACCTTGAGGCTCTGTGTGTGCTTTCTGGCCCTTATTCATTTGAAGTGCATTAGCTGCATGTCATATAGCCTGAGTCAGCCAGAAGCAGGCACAAGGGTCTCATCCCTTAGTCACAGAGTTTATAACTGCTGATTGCTTCCTTCAGCAACCCCATGCTAGGCACTGTATGAAGCCAGGGTTTGAGCTGTCTCCAATGTGGAACCTCATGATACCTGTGAGCTGCTGCAGCCTGCATCTAAGGAGCAGACCCTGGGCTGTCTCTGCAAGGCAGCCCAGCCCTTGAGGCTTGGGAGGGGAGAAATGCTCTTCCTCTTATGTTTAACACCCTCTGCTCTTGCTGGAGAATGTGGCCTGTTCAGGCTGTGTCAAGCCACTCCCCTTCCCTCCCTTCCTTCTTTTCTCTTCCCCCGCGTTGTACAGGCTCAGCCATGAAGGAAGTCTTCCTGTGCAGTCTGCCTACTAGCAACCCATTCCCTGCACTGCCAGAGCCCTGGGAAATCTGTCTCCCTGCATCCCCTTTTCTGGCACCTCCTTCATTCCAGGAATACCCAGCGGTGGCAGGAAGCTGTCTCCTCTGTCTGGAGCCCTTGCTGACACTCCAGTCCTTGCCCGGACAGGCCCCAGCTGAGAATCTGCTAAACCCTGTTTGCAATTTGCCGTAGGGTTGGAGTTCCAGGCAACATCCAGATCCTGCGGCTGTCCTCATGTCATGGTGTGGTGCGGTGGCACAGAGAAGGAAGGGCAGCTCCCCTTGAACTCTGGTTCCCCTGCAAGCTGGGTTGCCAGGTCATTGGCAGGGCCCAGACATGTTTTTAAAGCATGCAGCCCCATTCGGGATATGTGGGGGTGGAATAGCAGGGCCTGGGGCATCTGGGTGTTCAGGCTCTTACTCACGCTGTCCCCGGCTGTAGGCGTGTGGGAGACGCAGCTAAGATGCCTAACTCGGAGAACAATTAGTAGCAAACCAGTGGCCCGAGGCAGTGGGAACAGGCTGGGCCCAATCTGTCATCCTGGGGCTGTTGTTTCCCAATCAAGGGAGTCTCCTGCCTCTCCTGAGGGAAGCATTTCCTATGGGCTGTTGCTTCTGTCGGTGTGGTAGCTAGTTTATTGCTCTGTTTCTTTGCATGATGTCTGCTGCTGGGGGGAACGGGGGCCGTGCCTGCTTGCTTTATGAACTATTCCTGGGTTCTTTTCCAGACGATATTATAAAATATAAATGGTCACAAGGAGGCTATTTCAGCTCTTTGGGATGACGGGAGCACAATGAATCCTGGCCTTGCTAAGCTGGCATGGCATGGGCAGATGGCTCTGCTCGCACCAGTTCCCAGCGGGCGTAAAGCAGCCTGGCTCCATTGACATCAGTGGGGTTACGCCAGGTTACACCACCTGAGGAGCTGGTATGAGACCTAATGCAGCCCAGCCTGAAGCAGGTGCTGCTGCTGTTGATATCGGTGGGCCCCAGGCTTGTTTATCAGGGCTGAAATTAGTCCTGTGCCCATGGCAAGGTTGGTGCGCCGGTGACATGCCCTAGCCTCCATCTACAGAGGACTGAGCTCCTCAGTCTTGCTAGGTGAGCTAACAGTTTTGCTCCCTGGTTAGTCCTGGGCAGGGATTCAGTCTGGTAACATGCACTGGTGTGGTTTTCTTTCTCAAGAAAAGCCAGGACTGGCATCAGCAGGGGTGTTGTAGGTCAAGACGCTAGCAGAGAGGTAGGGAAGTCCAGTTCTGGACTAGCGAGGGGCTCGCAGAGCTGGGCTCAGGGGTCCCAGTCCTGAAGTATCTGGGCGTCCTGTAGAGCTGGGTGCAGAGATCTTGCGCTGCTGTTTGCTCCTCTGGACAGCGCAGCTCGTCTGTCTCTCTCGTGAGCTTCCTCAGAGCCACCAGGTGTATCTCTCCAGTGGGAGCTTCTTTAGGGTCTGATGTTCAAAGCCAGCCATGGTCAGAAAGCCATTCCCTGCTCAGGGGCTTTGCTATGAGATACTAACTGCTGCTGCTGCAGGGGCCAGTGGTTCATAAGGAGCCTCTTTTCTTCCTGGCCTCTGAAAGCCCTGCTCGGCTATCTGAGCCTCTCATTGGGATAAGCACCTACTGTCTGTCTGGCTTGTCCTGCTGAATGCCCACCCTGGTCAAGCTTTTGGGCACTGGGAGGTGCAGCAGGAGCGATGATTGGTAGAGGGTCTCCTGGATTTAGTGCCCAGAGGCAGTCTTCAGAGGGAGAGTTTATTTCCTTTCCCTGTGGTTTCTTGGGTGCCCTCTCCGAGGCCGCGGTTACTGCAATGACACGGGGTCACCCTCTGGGAGCCGGTGGCTTCACAGCAGCCCCGGGAGCAGGCGCGTTGGCGATCCACGGCAGCCTCTCTCCTGTCCTCTGCCGGGCTCGGAGGGAGACAGCTAACAGCTGCCTGACAAAGTAAAGGGTTTGCTGTCAAGAGTGCTGGGCTCACAAATCTGATTTTGGCTTCAAACTAATTCAATTTTGGTGGAAAATGATGAAATCGTTACACTGCTGCCTGCTGGGTCACACGGCTGCTGACTCAGGGAGCGGAGCTGTTCGCCTCCTCGTTCAGCACGTGCTCCCACTCGCCAGGCTCTCCCTCGCTGCCCCCCTTGCTGTGGGGGGACACGGCTGGGGCTCTTTGCAGGCCATCCTAGCAGCAGGCCCATCTACCTGCCCTTAGGGTTTGATCCTGAGCAAGAGAAGGCATCTCAGGAAGGGGATGTCACCTCGTGAGGAGATAATGCTAGGGGGTACAGGGATTGATGTTCTCTCCCCGGATGGGCCCTGGAGGAAGGGTTGAAATACCCACAGTGTGTGGCTGAGATGGATTGGCTGCATGAGCATCTAGGCAGGCAGTGGGCTCAGTGCCTAGGTTTCAGTGTTGTTCCTCTGAATCCAGACTAACTAGTCCCCTGATCTCTGCTGGGGGCGTGTTTTGGGTTGCCCCTCGGTGAGTTTTGATGCAGTCATGCATCCAGTGCTGGGCCCAAGGTGAGACAAGAGTGTGTGTGAATGACACTCGGGCAAGGGCTGTCCCTGCTCTGCAAATCAATGCCTTGCTAACGCATCCTAAAGTGCATCTACGCTGACATCCTAAGAAGGTGGTCATTAGTGGATCCCTTGTGTCTGTCCCATCCCTTGTTCCCTGCCTCCCTGTCTGCCTCTCCCTCCTGTTTGCTTGTGTGCACATTTACAACCTGCTTCAGCCCTTGTGGGGAGAGGGAAAGAGCAAAGCATAAATAGGTAGGGCCCAGCTTGGCTTCCCTGGCTTGGGAAAGAGTCCTGGTTAGCAGGATGTGAGGTCCAACTAAGATGCAACCTTTTGGGGTGGTGGGGGGTGGCCCGCATAGCCTCTGACACCTGGAAATGGGATTTGCTTCCCAGACTTGTAGCCCTGGAAGCCAGCCACCCACCCCTGCCTGAGGCTGCCATCACAGCCTGCCTGAGCTCCCTCTATTGGGCTGAGTCAGGGCTGAACGGGAGATGTCTAGGGAAAACTCAAATGCTTGAGTTTTGGTGGCGATTCACAGAGGCAGTGCTTGTCCCTGGGAGCCAGCTGGAACTGCCCCCCTCCCACTGCATTCATAGGGAGACTGCCAGGCTGGCCACCCTGTGTTCTTTGGGGGTGTTGGGTGGAAGAGAGGGTGGACTCCGGTGTTGTGGCCAAAGGCCATTAGGAGTAATGATGATGATCCTCAGTCCCCTCAGCAGGTTTAGTTAGTGCACTGTTTTTTTTTTCTTTCCCATCCTTCACCAGTTTGGTGGCTGCATGCCTTTAAACAGCTCCCTCCCTTGCCCAGACATGGAGGTGACTGCATCCTTGGGGGTCGCTGAATGCTTTGAGTTCATAAATCAGTTTTGCA